GCATCACCCTGCTGCCTTCACAGCTCTATCTCAGAATCTTCTGAGATGAGGACAGGAGCGAGGAGAGCATCCCAATGCCAATTCCAAGGGAGAGCAGCTGTAGTCTTCTCATTTGCCAGCTGTAGTCTTGTTTTTCATTAGTGCCCAAATGGACCCTTCTCCCCTTTTACCAGACAGTAACTAGTAATTTGCACCCATGTGGAAACCTGTAACTAGATACAGGCATTCTGCTAAATTTTGGTAAGTCTTCACAAGGGGATGCACTGCATATTTACATAATTATATAGTAGTGTTTCACATATCTATTTTCTATAGCTATCATTAAAAAGGTTGCTGACATTTATCTTAGGTCATGTAGTCAATTGGGTCAAGGTGCACTGAAAGGAAACCAGAACACTGCAAGAACTATTAGAAATCATTTCATTTTTAAGTGTTATTGAAAAGGAAGTATTAACTACAAGTCAACAGATTGGTTCTGGCTACCACAGGTCAGACTGCCAAAGTAACGGCGACAACTACCAGGACTTCCCAAGAACCAGCACCCGAGGGACTGACACGGGGCATCCATGTGATGGAGGATGGTCAGGAAATCTGGAGAAGGCTCTGCACCAGAGGGCAGTGGGCGTGGAGTGGGCTCCCGGGGCTGCAGACACGGCACTGAACTTGTAGGGTTCAAGAAGCATCTGGACAACGCTCTCCTGTGGTCTGGTTTTCACACGTTCCTGCATGGAGCCAGAAGCTGGACTCCGTGATCCGTAGGGGCTCCTTCAAACTCAGGATATTCTGCAATTCTAATCAGGCTGAGCAGGAGGGAATACACTATTAAATGGCTATTGGCATTATGAAGCCTCTGAATACTTTCAGAAATCTCACCCTGTTATCCCACCATGCTTTCTATCAATTAATAATTTCAGAAGGTTTTTCATTTTGTTCTGAAAAACACCAACTGATAAATTTTCAGAGGAAAGAGGAAAGCCTTTTCTGCCTGGCTTAACTTCATTTGAATCAACTTTCTGAATTCCTATTCCTTATGGTCCAGAAAATGCTACTTCTGTTATTTTAAATAATACAATAAATCTGAAATTTGTAAGCATTCAATTAACCTCAAGTCAGACATACATTGTTTAGACCACTTAAGCAGTGCCATGTTAATAGGGTTCACTGACATAGCAATAACTTTAATAGATTACATTACCAATTTAAAACAAAGCATTTATCTTGAACACCCCCCAAAAAAATCTTTTTAAAGTTAAAATACCTAGAATTTGTGAAAAAATGACTTAAGCCCCAGACAAAATCCCCAAGTACTGAACCATTCTGGAGTCATGCCATTCAACTAATAATTCTGCCCATTGTAGGAGGTATGTTATGTCTGATTTTTAATTATGCTTTGTGTAAATATCCCCAGAGGCTTATGCAATAGGTAGAAGCTTAAGTAAGGCAAGCTGGAGGAGGCAGGCGGCCTGCTCTGGAGAGAGAGCCTGAGACATGTGCTGGTGGGCTCTGGTTGGTATGGGGCAGCTGAGCCCTAAGGAGCACAGGGGCACTTGCTGCACTTACACACTCGTCCCAAAGGCCACGTACCGAACAGAGCTCCGAGATCCTTTAGAACATTTGTCACCACAGCTGGCTTCCCATACTTGATTCACAACAGATCAGCAAACCACACAATCTTGCAAGCACTAACAGCGCCATATTTATCACCTGCTTCAGCTCCACATGCCTACGGCCCAGTTTTCTTCCAAGACAGAGTTCGGTAGAAGTCCGCACGCCCTGCAGCCGGAAGTCTTCCACCACTGAGGACCCTATGGATTCCACATACGTGCACTATTAATCACTGCCCTGACAGCATGCCTTCACCCTGACCTGCAGGCTCCGCAACCAGTTATCACACAGAGCCTGCTTTGCACTCATGCCTTTGGCACCACTGTTAAGTGCAAGCAGAACTCACAAGGCCTGGTAAGAACGCACTCAAGGATGCACCAAAATTTCACTCCAAGCAAGTAGCCAACTGCATCCAAATCCCAAACTGCTTCCTAAGAACCGAGGCCAGAGCCACTCTGCTGCTTAGAACACAACTGGAAGTCTCTCCAAGCACCCAGAGAACCACGGCTTCCCTTCTATTCTACACAGGAACAGCAGAAAGCCTCCTGGCCTCCTCTTTCCATGGCCAAAGGCATGCTTCAGCTTGCAATTGTTTCTGTTTGCATGTGATAATTTTAACTAGTAATTCTAGAAAATACTCCATTTGAATTTCTCCTTACAGACCTCTCACAGCTCAGTCACACAGCAGCCAGTCCAGCCTTTGCTTTCCCAAGCAGCTGAAGCAGCTGCCTGGTGCCTCTCGCAAGCAGGCACTGATCTGCCACACCAGAAGGCTGCATCGTTCCTCTCCATTTTGCAACACATGATAAACTCAGCTCCCACTCCTCACTGGCCTCCCCTGTAAAAACGGGACAGCATTCTCACCAAAACTACCTGAAAACCCAATTTAAGAAACACAATACATCTTCTGAAAAGTTAAGCTAAAATACATTATTGCTCTTTACCTTCTCTAGATAAAAATTTCATTATACTCATCTTCCTGAAATTCTGATGACTTTTTTCTACTCAATCTGCCATTTTAACAAAATCTAATTAGTTTAGCATATAACACTCAGACTAATATAAAGAAACAAAAACCAAATACCGATGCACAGCCTACAGAACACTGCACCATGATTTTCATGGCTTCAAAAGTAGAGAAAAGAGCACAGATTAGGGCCTCATGGGAAACGCTCCCATTATTTATTTCATTCTCCCTTCTCATTCCCACTAATTTCACACAGTGGTAGCAGCTGAAGGCATACACCCAGATCAGTGACTCATGACACGAGACCACAGTCCAAGCAGTCACTGGGTTTTCAAAGCAGTGCTTCTCAAGAACTGCAGTTTTCCATCCCAATAGTTCAGTTGTCTCGTCTTTGTTCAAAAAACAAAACAACCAGGACAAAAAAAGGCAAAAAGTCAAAACCCTAAAAAGTCCACAGCACGTTGGCAACAGGTGCTTCTTGAGATCTCACACTCACAGAAGAAAATGGAAAATTCACTTCTGGCCTTCACAACCATGTTCCACAACCTACCAAGGCTGGAGAGACTCAAAGCACATCTTTCCCATCCATGTCTCTTCTGCACATTGCTTCCCACAGAGACACAAAACCCAAGAATCCCCCAAGCAAGCTCAGTCTCAGAGATTGGCTCAACTCCTCTAACCGCACTCTGCAAATCTCCAAGTGCCTTAACTTCAACTTAATTTTGATGATACATTTCAAAAAATGCTCTTCTCAGATTTTTCAAACAATTTTAGTTTATCAGCTGACTGTGAAACTTCTTTTTTCTTCCTACCTTAAAGCTTGCTATTACTCAGAAGACCAATTGAATGTTTATGAACACCTGAGCTGCTCAATCTTCATATCCTTTAAATAATAGGGTGAGCTGAAGCAGAATTGCAGAGCTCCACCATTTCCATCTTGCAAGGAGGGCAACAAACATTGTTACATAGTCCATTCCACATCATTTTCCAGGTTCTGTAACTACTGTTGCACTTTCAAGGATACATTAACATGTGAGCACGCAGACATAAAAGATATCCCAGGCAGCGGAAACTCCTGAGTTACTTGTGTGCTATCCATTCCAGACCGGCCTACCACCTTTCCAAAAGAGGAAGACCACTCAACATGTAATCCTGTACCACCTCATGCTCACAACACCAGACTGCTATCATTCATCTCAAGTGAGTTTTATGTGCTTGATCATTAGATTTTGAGCATACTTATGTGTCCAGTGTCAACCCACAAGCAAAGCAGAAATGTGGGTCTCTGTCAGTCTAATCACTTTTTAATTCAGAGCTCAGCTGGGCTGGGCAAAAGACGAACAATGGAAGGGAGAAAATTTAGACATACAAGGAAAGATGTAGGCTCCTCTTCTTCCATTTCCTCCAAAGAAACATGTGCGCACACTTAAGTACCCACTCCTGGCCCTCATATTGCACTGGCTATCATCTTCCTCATCCTGCAGAAGCACACAGAGGCACAAAACACCGAAGCTACAACATGCTTCCAAGTGATGCCCACTTTCCCCCAACTCCCACTAAAACAACATTAAGTGCTACAGCAGTGATTGCAATCCTAGCACTTCTTTCTAATTGACAACAAAGGCAGTCAGATTCACCCCTTGGTGTGCAATGAGTGCACAGATGAGGCCACATCTTCCTAGGCTACACAAAGCAGTCCCAGATGCAAGTTTCAAGAGCCAAAATGCTCCAATTGGGCAGGAATAGGGCTCCAGTCCCTCCCACACGCCCTTCCCTTGGAACCCTCCACAGGTTTGGCAGATCAAAGGGAAACACCTCCATTACCCTCTTCCATTTCTTCTAGAACGAGGACGTCGGGCAAAGACCACTTCTACTCCACAGAGCCGCACCTACTGGGAATTCAGCAGTCTGGGAACCGTGGATTCCCCCACCATAGCCCAGCGCGACAATACCGGGGGCTGCAGGCTTCATTCCGCTCCCGCGGCACAAGAGATGCCCTCCGCTCGCGGGAGAACCTCACCTAGCGATCGGAACACGGCTCCAAGTGGAAACCTCTCCCTGAGGTCGGCCCGCGCCCACACTCCGCTCGCCGAGAGGAGGCCGCGAGCGCAGGGCCCGGCCGGCCCGGGCGGAGAGGAACGGCCGGGCCCACCCGCGGCGGGGCCGACCCCACTCTCCCGTCCCCCGGCCCCGGCGGAAGGCCCCGTGCCGGGCGCCGGGACCCCGCCCCCGCGGCTCTGGTGCGGCCGCTCACGCCTACGGCCGCGGTGAGGCCCGGCGGGCGCAGCGCCGGAGAGAGGAGCGGGCCACGACCCCCAGCGCCAGGCGGGTCGGCGCAGAGCGCCCGGGGCCGGCGGCGGCGGCCGGGCGCGGCGGGAGGCCGGCTCTGTCAGAAAGCGGCGGCCGGGCTCGGCCGCGGAGCGCTCACCTCGGACACCTCGTCCTCGTCGCTGCCGGAGCCTCCACCGCCGCCCCCGCTCCGCAGCACGGCGGCCGCCAGCTTGAAGTCGAGGGCGGCCTCACCGGCCGCGGGCGCGACGGGGCCTCCGGGACCGCCGGGCCCGGCCTCCCCGAAGAGGCGCACGGCCCTCAGCCCTAGCGGGGAGGGCCCAGCCGCGGCGGGCGGCTCGGCGGCGGGCGGCGCGCGGGGAGCGACCGAGTCGATCTCCTCGTCGCCGAGGGGGGCGGCGGTGCCGTCCGTGAGCATCGCGCTGATCCGGGGCCGCCACCGCTCGCAGAGCCCAGCCGTCGCCGTCCCTCACGGCACCGCAGCAGCGCCACTAACTTCTCACACCCTACCCGGCCGCGCCGCCGCGCCGCCCACCCGCCGCGCTGCCCGCACCCATTGGCCTGGGGCGTCCCACGGCCGCGCGCTATTGGGCCGCGCTGCCGCCACTCTGAGTGACGTCACGCGTTCCCAGCATGCTGCCTTGAGAGCACACGCCGAGGCGGTTTGAGCCCCCTGCCCCGCCCCGCTTCCCTGGCTTCGCTTCCTGAACTTTCCGGGAGCCGATTGGCTACTCGGAACGTCAGTCATACGTCCCGCCTGAGTTTCGGGCGACGATTGGGCCGCCGAGCTGTCTAACAATGGTAATACGAGAAACCGAGATTCTGGTTGCCTAGAAGGCCCGTCGCTCACAACGCGCGCCGTCTGACGCCGTCCGATTGGCTCTTGCCGCGGCATATCCCCTCCCCTCCCTTTCGCCGCCCTCTGAAGGGCTCCGTCAGCACAGAAGCCGACACCGCCCCCCCGCCTCGAGCGCCCACTGGCGCGCGGCGCTGCCCGTCAATGCGCGTAACCCGGCCGTGAGCGGCCCGCCCCGCCGCCCCCAGCGAGCGCGCGATTGGCCCCACACGCTGTCACTCACGTCACCTGCGGCCCCGCCGGTGACGACGCCCGTGCGGCCACGTGGCCTCTGTCAGCGCGTGGTGTGCGGGCCGGGCGCGGGCCGGGCGCGGGCCGGTGCGCGGTTTTCCCTCCGGAAGGAAGAGCCGAGAGAACGGCGCAGGGTCAAAGCATGGTTTATTCAAATGCCAATTATCTTCATCCTGTAATTTCAGTGAGAGCTGTCGCTGATGTGTGGGTGGTTGGACTGGATGATCTTGTAGATCTTTTCCAACCTCAGTGTTTCTGTGATTCTGCGATTTTGCAATCCACCGACACGCCGCGGGGCCGCACGGCCTGCAGGCCAAGAGCTGGGCCAGGATCAGAGCGAGGCTGCCCACAACTGGGGCACGGGGCTCAGCACGGAGCGGAGTGAGCGCAGGTTTGGGGCCTGCTGCAACGCGGAGGCAATAAGTACCTGCCAGCGGGCCTCGTGTCGGTGCTGAGCGGGAGGTGAGCAGCAGGTCTGGTTCAGGCTGCTCTGCCTCGTCCCAGCCGCAGCCCTAATTCACGGAGATGTTGATCTCTCGTCCCTGGCGATGCATCAGCTCAGACTGGAGGAGAAGCGAGGGGGTGATGCGTTTTGCAGCGCTCCCAGTCACCCTCCAGCAGCCATGCCCACAGGATCCAGCTCCTGTAGCTGCTCAACCAGCCGCCGCAGCACAGGGTGTGCTGAGCCCATGGCCCAGCGTGCCAGCTCTGCTGCTGTCCCCACTCCCCCGGCCACTCCCTAGATGAAAGCACCACAGCTCTGGTGCCATTCCATCTGGATTTGGCATCTTGTGCTGGAGCTGTTGGCTGTTCCTGCATCTCCGGGCTGCTGCCTGAGCTGCGTGCCCTGGCCAGGTGCAGCCCCTGCACCTCAGATTCCTCAGGGGTGGCTGCAAAAGAGCACAGCTCCCAGGATATCACCCACCTCTTCATCAGTGTTGCTTTCCTGCTCCTCCTGCTTCCTGCGCTGTTTCCCCTCTGCCTCCTTCCTGGCTGCTGCAGGCATAATGTTATCCAGCCAGCTCAGGTCATGCAGGGAGAAGATGAACTCAAGTGCCTTCCGGATCCCCACCAGGGCCAGCAGCTGGGGCCAAGGCAGAGCATTAGTCAGCATGGGCCAGGGGACTGCAGGTCAGTGGGTTTTAACCAGCCTGGTTACAAGAGACATCCTACCATCACTGGGAAAACAATGGCAGCCGCAGTGGACTTGATGACCCAGAGAATGGCCAAGCACAGCAGCTGGATGAAGGTGAAGAGGTGCACCCGGTGCAGTGGCACATGGCGGAGGTAGAGGTGATCTGGCTGGTGTTTTGCAGGCATCAGAAGCAGCCGCACTCGGTCCGTGAACTGCAGGGAGAGGATAGCAGGCTTGTCAAACACAGCACAGAGAAAGGATGCTTACACACTTGCAGTCAGCTGTCACCCACCTCCCTGCTGTGACCACCCCATCGCCTAGCACAGAGGGGTGCCAGTGATTGCCCCCTAGGCAGGCCAAGCCCTCTGCCCTGACACTCCATGCTGTCGCCAGGGCTGCTCATGGGATCTGTTGCAGGGGAGCTGATCTGAACAGTGCTACAGAACCTGGGGCTATGGCCTCTGGCTATGACTGGACAAACTCTTTCCAGGCAGATGCTTAGGGAAAAAAAAAAAAAGAAAAAAAGGTAGATATTTCTGGAGCCTGGATTGTCCCTGCCCAGGGTTTAGCAGGAGAGGGCAGAGTCGGCAAATCAGAGAGCTGCTGCGGGGACATCCTGCAGCTGTGGAGAGTTGCTCCGGGCCACCCATTGGTCCCCTTCCTTCACTCAGACTATCTGATCCACCAGTGCAGGAGTAATTCATGCTCCCCAGCAACCCAGACGCCACTCCTTCCCTCTGCCCAATCTTAGGTCCAAATTCAAGGCATTGAGCTGTACTGCACAGAGTGAGCTGGTATTGAGCAAAGCGCTTCCTCCCTAAGACCCACAAGTATCCCAATACAATCCAGATGCATGCTCTGTGCAGTCCCACTCACCTGGATGCTGTTCAGAGCTGCCACTCCCATGTGCAGAAAGACCCCATAAAGCACCGGCATTGGGATATACTGCAAAACACCAGGGTGAGGCTTCAGCAGGGAATTTGCACTAAGCTATGCCTCCTGTAAGACCAGTCTGTATATACAGATGCAGTGTTTGTTTTCTTCTCTTTGAATAGCACAATTTCATTTCATGTTTTTTTGCTTATCTTATGGCTCCAAGGGCATTACAACTGGATGTGTTCCTGTCTATGATAGGAACTGATGCAAGGACATCACCGTCTTCAGAGAGGGGACACAAGTTCTGAGATGCTTGCCCCACTTTCTAGCTGGGAGTAACCCAGGCTGGAGATAAGGCACCAAGGCACTTGGAAATGGGTCATACAGCGTTGGATTTATAAATAGTGGGGTGTCTGATAAAGCAAATGCTTTGCCCTGGGATGAGAGACTGAAAGGCCATGGCCTAGCTACAGACAGCAGGCAGCTCTGTGAAACAGCACACCAAGCTGTCCCCTGGCTGGCATGGTGTGGAGCTGCAGGCCAGATGGAAGGTAGTAGAATCACAGAATCACCAAGGTTGGAAAAGATCTCCAACATCATCCTGTCCAACCATCCACCTATCACCAATATTTCACACTAAACCACATCCCTCAGTACAACATCTAAACACTTCTTGAACTCCTCCAGAGACAGAGAGTCCTCCCACTCAGACAGCTGTAGAGAGCCATAAGGTCACCCCTGAGCCTCCTCTTCTCCAGGATGAGCAACCCCCATTCCCTTAGCCTCTCCTCATAAGGCCTGTGCTCCAGACCCCTCACCAGCTTTGTTGCCCTTCTCTGGACATGTTCCAGGGCCTCCATGTCTTTCTTGTAGGGAGGGACCCAAAACTGGACACAGTACTCGAGGTGCAGCCTCACCAGAGCTGAGTACAGAGGGATGATCACTCCCTGCTCCTGCTGGCTGCACTATTTCTGACACAAGCCAGGATGCCATTGGCCTCCTTGGCCACCCGGGCACACTGCTGGCTCGTGTTCAGCTGAGCATCAACCAACACTCCCAGGTCCGCTTCTTCCACACAGTCTTCCAGCCACTGCGCTCCAAGCCTATGGCGTTGCCTGAGGTTATTGTGGCCAAGTGCAGGACCGGCCCTTGGTCTTGTTCAACTTCATCCCACTGGCCTGCGCCCAGCAATCAGCCTGTTCAGATCCCTCTGTGGGACCTTCCTACCCCCAGGCAGAATGATGCTTCCTGCCAACTCGGTGTCATCCGCAAACTTTCTGAGGGTGCACTCAATGCCCTCATCCAGGCCGTCAGTGAAGATACTGAACAGGACAGCCCCGGTACCGACCCCTGGGGAGCACCACTTGTGACAGTCGCCAGCTGGATTCAGCTCCATTCACCACCACTCTCTGGGCTCGGCCCTCCAACCAGTTCCTTACCCAGGAAAGAGTGTAACTGTCCAAGCCATGGGCTGCCAGCTTATACAGGAGAATACTGCAGGAGACAGTATTGAAGGCTTTCTTGAGATCTAGGTAGACTATGTCAGCAGGTTGGCCTAGCTCCTGTCTAGCCAGTGAGATCAGCTGAATCAACTCTGGTGATCAGTGGGGTGACATGTCACAGCCAGATTGCCCTCGCATCCAGGTCCTGCCACCTCTGGGCTGCTTTCTAGTCTAACCCCTCTTTCACAAGAGCATTTCCCCATATCCAGCCAGATTCCTGCCGTCCAGTTGCTCAGCATGTTCTGTTTTTCCTCCCAGGCCTTGTGAGGCAGGGGACATCACCTTCTGCTGCCATTGAAGTGGGTGAGAAATGCCTAGGATTTGGCCAGCTTCCCTGGCATAAAGACAACCACTAGAGATTCATCACCTGCCCAAGCTGGGAGGCAGCTGCTGGTCCTGGGACTAACAAAATGTTTGCACAGCCCCATCGACCAAGCTCCAAGCTGAAGCGTCACAGGCAGCCTCCCACTGTAACGGGAGGAGCAAGAAGTTTTGGTCTTTAGTTTCTCTGCCATCCTCAGGTCTGGGGACAGAGATGATGCTAGAGAAGGGACCCGACTTTCAAGTGACCCAGGTATGGCAAGAAGTACACCAGGAGCTCTGCCACTCTCACTGCAGTGCCGAGTAAGTGCTGGCACTGCTCTGGTGATGGGACAGAAGGTTGCAGGGGACAGAACTGGCTCCTCAGGGAAAACTGTGAGCCAGCTGCTGGGGCCGCCTTGCAGAAATTGAGCCAATCCTTCTGGCCTTTGTCAGACCCCTTCCCACACAGTGCAGTGCTCCTTCTTAGGTGTGTCTCTCTGTGCTGCAGCTGGAGGAGCGGTGGGGTTGGGAACGACTCAGGTTGCAGTGCACCTTGCCCACTTCAGAAAGGAGGCAAAGACACCCTGAGGCCAACACCAGCAGCCAATTTCCATACCTTGAGAATGGGTGCCATGAAGACAGAGACTCCCGTCAGGATGAAGACCACCAGGCCGGTCAACCTCTGCTCCCTGTGGGCAACAGTGCAGACATCTCAGGAGTGTTCAGGCTCTCCCAGGCACCCACAGCCCCCATCAGCCTGCGTGGGCAGCAGCCTGTCCCCTGGTGCCACTGCTGTGGGCAGGAGAGGTGCAGGAGTCCCCTAGAGTAGAGGCTCCAGGCAAGATGAGGTGCAGCTCACTGTGTGGCAGAGCTCAGGCCATACCTGATGCCCAGGAACTCGGGCTGCTCGCCTGGAGCTGAGGCAGTGCTCTCCTTCCTGAGGCTCTCCATGTGTGCCAGGGAGATGACAGTGGCCGATACGTACCAGGGGAGGCCCATCACAGAGGTGACAATCATCAGCAGCGAGACGCAGAGAAAGTCCAGGTGAAAGCCTGCCCCTTTCTGCAAAGAGGGAAGCATGGCCGGGAATGAGCCCATGGCACGGCAGCACTGGGAGGCCCTCCCAGCGTGATGGGAACAGGACACTGTCGCAGAAGACAGCAGGGCCTGGGCTACCACTGACCATCAGGGTGGGTGGTGGATGTGGTAGGAAGCCAAGGATGAGCACATGGCAAGGCCAGGCAGTGGCATCTTGCCTGACTGTGCCGTGAGCATTGCTCCTCAGCCCTGCAGAGCCACATCTATGCCCCACAGCTCACAGTGACAGGATGAGCCATATGTCCTGGGCAGATGTGTGGCGGGAGCCCTGCCAGGTCCTGCATGTATCTGAAAGCATTTGTAAGTATCATAAACCTTCAGATGGAGTCAGAAACACCCAAGGGCCAGCCTACAACCTGATATTTGCACTCTCTTGGTGATCAGCCACAATGCTGCCCAGCCCTGAAGATGCCTGCAGCCTACAGCTGGCTTGTCCCAGCAATGTCCTATGCCCTCTGTCCCCCACCAAGTCCTATCCACAGCCTCTCCTGCAGTGGGTGATGGAGGCATGGGGGGATGCCTGCAGAGGGAGAGACTCAGAGGCACCCCCAGATCTGGTGGGAGGGCTGACACCCCCAACACAGCAAGTCCCACACCCTCCTGCCTGGCAAGGGCTGCGCCGCTACAGGAGCCAACACAGCAAGACATTGGCACTGCCAATGCCAGCTCTCCCCTGTCTGCTCAGCCTGGCCCAGGCAAGAGCTCACACACAGAGTAGAGCAGTGCTCCCCATCTGTAGCCTGCACCCTGCTGGCACCCCTGGGTTCTGCTCACCTGCAGTTTGTATTCCTTGCGGTTAAGAATGACAGCTGTGATCTGCTGGTCCATGAAAATGAGGATGGTAACAAGGATGGCAGGCACCACAGATGCCAGGCAGATCCACCAGGGGTTGGCTCCAAAGGGGAAGACAATCCAGCCCCTCATGGGATTCGTGGGCTGCAAAAGGCAGAAAGATCATGCTAGTCAATGTGTGCCTACAGGGCCTGCAGCATAGCAGAGCAAAGGGACCAGCCCATGGGCACGAAAGCTGGATCAAGATGGACGCCCTTGGATGCTCCTTCCTTGGGAGTGTGACTCACCCAGCAGCTTGCAGGACACCCACTGCAGCAGAGCTTACTCCTGGGCACCATGAGCTGGTGCTGAGAGCTGGGTACATCTAGAACAGCACATGCCCGCCTGGGTAAGCTACAGGGGCAGCATTTGAGCCGTGGGTGGAAGGGGGTGTACTGCAGAGCCCAAGCAGTAGCACCACACATAGACTACAGCCCAGTTCATGGAAGAAGCAGAGCATGATCCTTTGCTCTGCCAATCCCTCTCCACACCCAGGGTGGGGAGCCCAAGTCCAGGCTTGAGCTCACAACTCCTGCTCCAGCATGAGCTGTAGCGTAAGGTTGTCCTGCATGAGCAGGACCAGGCTAGGCCATTTACAGACCACAGGATTGTCTGTGGCCCAACCTCTTGTATGCAGTGGGGCAGTAACATAGGACTGAAGGGCTGCAGGGCAGTCATGCCAACAAATCCACTGTGCGTTTCCACCCAGACCACATCGATGGCAGACAGCAGCAGTGTGGGGCAGGTTCTGCAGAGGATGCAGGCCTGCTCACCAGCAAAGCTTGCGATGTCCAGCCAGAGCACACCAGCCTGGCAGCACAGTGGGATTCAGGGAAGGCGGGCTGGGGAGCCAGGCACAGCCAGGCTGTTTACGGGGAGAGGTGAGGAGGCAAGCTCCCAGAGGCACTGCAAAGCAAATCCTACAGAGCTGAGCATTGCCAGGCTTGCCATCTAAGCCTGAGTGAGCTTGGCACGTCAGTGCTTGCAGTGCTGGCCAGCCCTCCTCGCATTGCACTGGGTCTGGCTGGGCTGGGGGCAAGTAGGTCAGACACCAGCTCTTCCAGGAAGCCTGCTGTCTTCTCTCTTCTCCAAGACCTCAACGAGAGCTAGACAATGCCGGAAAAAGTTCACAAGCCAGGAAGATGAACTGGCAGCCTCCTGCCTGCAAGGGCGAGCCCTCACACACCCATGGTGCATGTGGGATGCGCCCAGGCTGGCCAAGAGCAGGCAGTTCAAGCAAAGGCTCCGTTTTCCTACAAATCCTCCTTCCTCCAGGCTGCGCTGGAGGCCTTATATAAGCCACAGCAGCCCCTGCCCTGACAGTTCAGCCCAGCCATGCAACCAGTGTGAGGCTTGCTGCTGAGCCAGCTAGCTGCTCTTTGATAGTGCTCCTGGTTCCCTATCTGTTGGTCACCTTCAGCTCGCTGGGAACCAGGAGCTTGGGGGTCTCCAGACCAAGAGCCGCATCGATGGCACAGAAGATGAGGATGGCCAGGATGATGGAGAAGTCACTCACCAGCTTCCGAAACTGCAATGCCACAGATAGGGAGGTTTTCACCCGCACTGGCCGGGACCATTCCCAGGCAGCTGTGGCAGAGGGACCATCCGCAACAGCCCCAGAAACACCCCAAGGTCAGCCCCAGCGAGGCAGCTGGGGGGCACTCACCCCCGTGGGGAAGTAGCGGCTGCTCTTGAAGTGCTTGAGCGTGGTGCAGCAGAGGAAGGTGCCTCCAAAGAGGAGGAAGGACATGAGGGCAATGTCAGGCACGTACGGGCAGCTGCTCCCCTGGAGGTGGCCTCCTCGGCCCAGACACTGGGCCCGGCTCAGTGCGGCCAAGGCTGCAGGAGGCTGTGGGGATGTGGGAAGGGTGAAGGTGGGGAAATAAGCCAGGGATGTGGCACTGGAGCCAAAGGGCCAGTGAGGACAGCCTGGTGCTCTGTGTCCCCTCCCAGAAGGGTCCGTACCTGTTGCAGGGTTGTAGTTGGAGGAGACAGTGTGTTGTTGCCTGCTGTGACGTGTCCTGCAAGGCAATGGAGGGAGTCGGTGCCCCAGGAGCCATGGGGCTGCAGAGCCGGGCACCAAGCAGCCCGTACCCTGTCCCCAGAATATTCCCAGGAGTTCTGAGCTGTCTTGGCTACCCAGGTGGGGCCATGTGGGACTCCTGAGGCATGAGAATGACACCAGACAGCAGGAGAGCGCGGCCTGCAGCTGGATACTCTGGACAAGCACCAGGCCAGGGCTGATGCCTGGGAGCACCAGAGTCAAGGTTTCCAGGGTGCATCCCTGGCCCAGCCCCTCGCAGACTTTTGCAAGTCTTCCTCACATCCTTCACAGTTCTTCACTGTTGTCTCCTTATTGTTGTGCTAAAATAGTCCTTCAGCAATTCCTACTGTCCATTAACAGCTGTCCTGAAGTTGGCCAAACCGCAGTCCTTCAAGGTGAAATTTTCCAGCCTAAAGTTGTGCCTTTGGGGTCATAAAGGCTTGCAAAGGGCTTGGCTGAAGCATCAGCACACTAACAGTCAACAGCAGAACCAAGCTCTGCCTAGCACTGGTGCTTCAGGTGCACAGTGCCATGGCTCCACTGCCACAGTGGTCCTGCAGACATGGTGATCACCATGGAAGCAGAGACACATCTTGTTCAGACTCCATGAAACACCCTGTGAATTACAGACCAGATTACAGACTACGGAGAAAGTGTGTTGAGGTGCTGAACGGTCTGCTGGTCTCCCCAGTGCCCCACATCCTCTGGCCCCACACTGCAGGAGCTGAACTGCAGCTCACCCCACTCCCAGAACTGTCAAGGCTCCAGAAGCACAGCCCCAGGCTGCTGCAGGTCTCTGTCCCTGCCTGAGCCAGGGGGCAGAGGGAAACAGGCAGTGCCACTCCCAAAAAAGGGATAAGCCTTTGGAAGCAGCCTGACCTAGGGTCACAGGCAGGGGACACAGTACACCTGGGGACACGAGCGACAGGCTAGATGCCTGCAACAGGCACTGGGAGTTGGGCTGTGCTCGTCAGGGTGCTCCATCCCAGGTGGGGATGCCTGGGGATGCCATGCAGATGGTGCTCTTGTCCTGACACCAACCCTGCAGCATAAAGAGGCTCAGCAGGAGTCCCTGGTGTGGGGCAGATAGTGGCAGGAAGGTAGTTCTTGTATCCCACTGGGGAAGGTCTGTCTCCAACTGGTACAAGGGCAGGACGAGGTGACATTTCCATGCAACTTACTGCTTACCCTTATGCCTACACCTAAGCAAGGTGTGAGGATGCCCAAAGCCAAGGGAGCACCAGGTGCCAATATGGATGGGCAGGTAAGGGTAGGATTGGAACAGCCTCCTTCTTCTCAGCTGTGAGGCATTCTTGAACTAGACATCCCTCATCACTCTCAGGGACTGTGGTGCTTCTTGGGGCCACAGTTAGCTCCTGTGGTTCCTGGGACCATCACCTCCTGCCATGCCCACATCCTTCATCTTCCCTGTGCCACTCTGATAGAGGTGTGGAGACCAATGCGCAGCAGGTAGCACTGAGGCCACCATGCTGGAGCTCTGTCCCTATGAAGGCACAGCCCTGTGTGCACAGCCCAGCACCCTGCCCACCAGCATTGTGCAGGGACTTGGCCCAGGGGCCATGCTGAGTGTGTGGGCAGGAGTTGTGACAGGCAGCTTGCATTCACCTGGGACAGATAAGTTGCAGGTGCAGCTGTACAAGGTCACATCATCAGCCCGGTAGTGCCAGTTGATGGGGAAGGCTTCCGCCAGGCTCAGCATCTTCTTTAGAGAGTCATAGATGAAGATCAAGCTGATGAGGGCACAGAAGCCTTCCTCAGTGAAGCGGGTGAAGTACTGCACCAGGTGACTCGCTTCAGTGGCCACCAAAACCAAGCCGAAGAAGGCCACCCAGAGCCCAATCCAAAGGCGAAACTCCAGGTAGTCCAGACCATAGTCCCTAGTGGGGAGAGTGGCCCAGACTCTTACTGTGGCACTCAGCCATGTGAAGGCAGCCTGTGCCCAGCCCACGGATGGTGCAGCTGAGGCTGCCACCTGGGGAGATGCCCTCATTCAGTTCTTACTCGCTGAAGGAGAAGAGGAGACGCTCAAAGACCAGAACTGGGCCGGTGCTGCTCAGGATGGTCAGGGGCTGGCCGGAGAAGAGGCAGAAGATGGAGCCAGCGAAGGCAGTGCCCAGGAAGCTCTCCAGTACACCCTGCAGTGCAGAGGGATGGGATGCAGGACCAGGTGAGCAGTGGGGCCAGGGGGACAGTGCTCAGGTGCTGTCTGCCTGATGAAGCCAGCAGAAAGACAGGTACCAGGGTGACAGCCCCACAGTCAGGAAGGAGGGGACAAAGGGCATGTGGGCTTGCCACTGGCTACAGGTGTGAGGTGATTCTGCTTGGGGAGAACCTGTGGACCCTTGCTCTCCTCCAAGCACTCAGAGACTCAGAGCTGTAGCCACAGCAAGATGAACTAGGCAGCCTGGGGCTGCAGCTGCAGGGCCTGTCACCCTCACTACAGGTGACATCACCCCAATCACAAGTGATGTCAGTATGTTGAACTGAAGGAGGGAGGAAGGAGTCTGAGAGGTGCCGAGAGGCCAGCCACTGCTCCAGGAGTCACCCCAGCACTTCACGTTTGAGCTGTCACCGAAGCCAGCCCAGTGGTGAGCACAGGTCCTGAGGTGGCTCAGGCGTGGAGCTGAAGAAGTGGGGCTACAGTAGAGGCCACAGCTTCCCAAAGCCTGCTGAGGGGAATGCTTGGCACCCCAGCACACAGCCAGCCATGCCTGTGCCTGCAGGTCATGCTCAGAGCAGCCTCCCTCCTTCAGACCCCTTGTAGAACAGAGTGCAGGGTCCTGCCTGGGCACCAGGACTCTGGGCTGCAGGGATGGATTTGAGCACTACACTTGCTCAGGCCCAGCCAGTGCTCTGGGACTGCCAATGGAGAGCAGTGCTGCAGGAGGCCCTGCAGCCTCGGTGAGCAGTGCATGAGCAGGGAGTTCCATGTGGCACTCCCCAGGCAGCCCTACCCTGAGGATTGCAGGCAAACCCCACATAGCCCACTGTTCTGCATCACAGCCCACACCCAACTTGGCACCCCAAGGCACACTGACCTGCATGTTGGCTGTTGCGTCCCCCAGCATGCCCCCAAAGGTGATGGCATTGGTGACCGTTGCCAGGTAGATGTAGAGAACTGCTGAGAGGCACTGGATGTGCATGGCATCAGAGAAATCACTGCGATACCAGTATGCCTTCCTTCGGATGTCTTGGATCAGCCCCCCAAAGAGTCTGCAGCAGCCCAGAGAGGAGAAGAGGCAGCAGAGATCTGAGCACCCTCCAGCTGGCTATGGCCATCACCAGAGAGCAGAGTCCTCTCTTGGAATCATTGGCTGGTGCTGGTTGGAGGAGGATGTGGCCCTGGCAGCAGCGATCTGCCCAGCGAAGCCAGGATTGATGTAGCGGGCAAGGCCTTACCCTGCTCCCATCTGAACGCACTGACCTTCCTGTCCTTTCCAGCTCCTCACTGGTATGCAGGTGGGCCAGGCTAGTCCTGTCCTTGGCAGCAGTTGTATTCCCACTGCAGTGAGATTTCCACTCCCACAGGTGCATGGAGATCCTGAGGCAGAGCCAGGGGAGACTGAGCAGGTGGGCTACAGACCAGAGCCCTCAGGACGCATCATGCATCAAGACGATGCTATCAAGGACAGGGAGGATGGAGAGGGAACAGGGCTGGAGGCACCTTCTGTATTCCCTGGCAATGAGGTGGGGTAGGATGAGGACAAGATATCTCCACCAGCTGGCAGGTCAGCCCCTGAACCAACCCTATACAGACTAGTAATGAAAGAGAGCTGGGCAAAGCAGGAGGTGTCCTGCTGGAAGGTGCTGAGGCCTCATGTTCCCAGCAGCTCTTGCTTGAACATTGCATGGGATGGTTTTGCCACTCCCTCACTGGCAAGAGCCAAGTGGGACTGCAGATCTAACAGCACCAGGACCATAGCTGTGGTCTGCATCAGCTGGAGCTGCAAAGGGGCTTGGCCAGGAATACTTCACTGACAAAGGCTGGCTCCTAGGATAGCTTTACCCCCATTGAGATCCAGATTTCCTAAAGGTGCCTTCCAACCCAAACCATTCTATGATTCTATGATTTCAGCATCACAGGCTTGCAGCAGAGGTCTCCAACTGGGACCACAGGAGCCAACAAAGGCTGTGGGTGCCCTCCCCCCAGGATACCTCTTATTTGGGGACAACAGGCAGCGTGGTGGAGGAATTCGGTCACTGGGGTCCCATTTTCCTGGAGGAAGCACAGTCAGTTCCTCCAGAAACTCATCAATCCCTGCGATGAGGTCTTCTTGGTGCTTAGCCTGCCAGGCAATCCTTTGGAAGAGCTGTGGTGAGATGCAGTGGATTAGCCACCAACTCCTGCATTCAGCTAATCAGAGCCTTTCTCCCAGTATGTAGACACCACCGAGGAAGGCACCCATCCAGTCAGTTGCAATGGATGTGCTCAGACCTTATAACCACCCAAATCCTTTGTTTTCTTATCCTGGGCCAGGAAAGCTGCCAGCCCACCTTGTCCTTGGCCACCTCTGCTGCAGCCTGCAGAGAAGAGGAGCCTTGGCATCCTCAGCCATTCTGCTGCTGTGTGCTCAGGACAGCTGCTGTGTTAGGCTCACCTCATCTGTCAGCAATGTGGCCATAGCCCTTCCAATCTCATGGTAGGCTTTCGCTTTGGCTTGAGGGCCCAGCAGAATGAAAAGAAACCTGCAGACAAGACAGCAACCCATGAACATTGCAGTACCAGCAGCTTCTCTAAGGGAGCTCCTTTTGAGGGCAGGCAGTGTGCTGCCAGGTGCTCTGCAGGCAGTCTGCTAAGCACATGGGGAGTGAGTGGGTTCATCTGCACAAATTGGCTAATGGTGGTGACTGTGTTGGAAAAGTGTTCTATAGCTGAGACTCTATCAAGCTGTGTTATTGTGCTCTTTGTATCTGCTGTAGTTTCCATGGAAAAAAATAGGAGGCATCACTTTTGTAGTGACCTATGTACGTGCATCAGGACTATGGGAAAACTAGAGAGTTAATATCCAAGAGATGGATCTGAATGGGAGATAGCCCCAACATGCTGGCTGTACCTCGGAGGGCAGGCAAAGGGGAATGGCGCTCAGGGTACGGAGGGCAGAGACGAGCTCTCCTTCCATCCCGTTCCAACCCAGAGAGGAAAAAGGGCCATTCGGAAAACACATGAAGAACAGTTGCTGTCAGCTAAATAATGGCACTCAGCAAGACTCCACATGGGTCTGTCTCGACCCCAAAGCCATACATTTCCCTTTAAGGAGAGCGCAGGAAGTGAATGCTCCGTCCCCTGCGTGCTCACCACGGGCGCTCTGGCCTGAGTGACCAGGAGGTGGCAATGTCCATCCTCATCCCTACCCCTCCTCGGGGTGCTTCCTAAGGAAGTCCTCACTTCAGAGAGTCACACTGACATTTTCTTGTTACAGCTTCAAATGATACCATGTAAAAACATCTCCTGTCCCTGTTCCTCACCCCGGACAAAAGGTCTGGAAAGCACCCCCACAGGGCAGCTAGGCAAGAGAGAGCGAGAGTCCTAGAAATCTGCGTCTCTTTCCAGCCTTGATCACTGATGCTCCCAAGGAGTAAGTGGAAAGCATTCAGAGGCCCATAGGGAGGAGGATGAATGCAGAGCCCATATAGGGGTAGCACTGGGTCTGTGCCCCAAGGCTGCCTGACAGCACTGACACTGCTCTTGGTGTATCCCCACTGCAATGTTGAGTGCCCCTGAGGTGCTGCAGGATGCAGGAGGGGAGGCAGTGAGTAGAGGTTCTGGGACTGTATGCGGGCTCTGTACTTGGCTTTAGGTGTTTTCTCCATTGCTTTTACCAGGTAAGGTCTTTCTACTGGTGCTGGGCCCCCACGGCTGTTCTGTGCACCAAGGCACAGAGCTTAAGGGATGCAGGTGGCAGGGGGGGACACTGGCAGCAGAAAGGGCTACAAGGCCACTGTGTGCTCCAGTTACCTGCTGGGGAGGGCAACTTCAGCCAGTGAGCCAAGGGTCACAGCCTCTCTTAAGCGAAGGAAGACGGGAAATGGCTTCTTCAGGAAGTCGACTTCCCCAACCATAACGCTGGCTACTTCGGCCCCTGGCAGAAGCTTCTTCTTAAATTGGTTTCTCAGCTGAAAGGACATGGAAAGTCAGGTCCATGTGGGACAGCCAACTGAGACCAAACTTCAGATTCCAACCTCACCACCTACACCATGGTCCCCCTCATCCCCCCTTCCAGGCCACCTCCCTCTCAGCCCTCTCGCCTGGGGGCTCTCTGCCTCCCCCAGCGAGAACACATCACAGAGGCTGCGTCCTGCAGTGACAGACACAGGTCCTGACCTGTAAAACTTTTCTGTGCCATTTGTGGACAGAGCTTTTCAGCTCATTTAGGGTCTGAGACCAAGAAACTGATGCATTTCTTGGAAAAACTGTTTCTCCCATGGAGACCATTGATCCATCTGCCCAGCCCTTCCCACGCTACCTGCTCCTTGAGAGGCGTTTCTGAGAACTGGGTTCTGGGCTCAGGGCAGGATTTGGCCTTCTCTGCAAAAAAAACAGAACAAGCAGCAAAATGTATGCACAAGCAAAAGGTCAGCATGGTACATGTCCCAAGGGCAGCAGCAGCAGCATGCCAGCCCCTGCTGTGTTGCCAGGTGTACCTCTGCAGGAAGCAAGGCTGAGCTCTGTGAGCACACGCAGCGGGGCTGTGGTGGTTCGGTGCAGCGGCTGGCAAAGCAGCAAAGCTGCCAGGCAGTCCTGCAGCTCAGGATCCCATACATCAGGCTGTGCAGAGAGTGCTTTTTCTGCAACACAAGGTAGTGCTGAGCCCCAGCTCTGCCCAACAATGGGGCTCTTCTGGGGAAAGCCCTCTTTGCTGGTGGATCCAGGTACCCTCTGTCACTGGTTTGTCTAGAGATCTCCTGGTGGGCTGGCTCCTGTTCCGGGAGCATCCCATCCCATTTCTCTGCATTACCCACGTACCGATTATTTCCTTGAAACTGTGGGCATCCAGATCCAGCAGCACTGTCCCCTCCTGCAGACACGTCCTCAGCTCAAAGAGGCTGTGCAGGTGGAGTACTGGGACATGAGGTGTGCTCCAGCGCTCCCCTCCGTCTTCCACCTTCTCCTCAAATTTAATCCACCTGCCAAGACAGAAGCACAGTCAGGAGCAAGGAATGTTGCTCTGGTGTCCTGTGCTGAGAAGCAGGAACACAGATCCCTAAGTTTGGCTTGGGCACAGGGCCCTGCTGCTCCACACCTTGCTCTGTTCCCCTGGCCAGAGGGATTCCACCCAGCCCCAGGGCCAGCAGTGCATGCTGGCAGTCAGAAGAAAAGTGTTTGGAGCAGTTTGTCATGGTCAGGCTGTGCCAAATCCTTGCAGAGCAGCACACACAGAGCTTCCCTTTGTCCACTGGCATGCAGCACAGGGCAAACGTGCCCAGCACGGGGCAGTGCTGGCCACCCCTCGGAGCAGAGCCTGCTGCCAGGCCTCAGGGCATTGCCTGGGGCACAGCTGCACGGGGAGGTACTGGGAGAGCCCCAGCATTCAGGCACATGGCTCCAGACCTGCAGGGCTCTGAGGCAGAGCCGCTGCTGCATGGGAACTGCCAGCATGTACCTCAGTGTCTCCTTCAGGCATCGCTGTCAAGCTGCACAGGGACAGCATGGTGAGGTGGCATTTCCCAGACATGCTTCCACATGCCCCACACCAGAACTGGGATGGACCTGGCTCTGCTGTGCACCTGCCCAGGATCTCATTGCCCTCCCCATGCCCCACCTGCTCTCCTGGCAGTCTGCTCTGCCCCTGGTTGCTTCTGACTCCTGCTGCCCTGACCATCTGAGCCATTTTCTGGCTCCTCTGCTCTGCTGCTCCACTGCTGCATTCCCACTGCAGCACAGATTCACACTGGGAGTGCTACCCCTGGCCAAGCCTTTTTTACAGGCTGCTCTTGCTTGCTCTGGAAAAGAAACCAAACTATCCCCCCAGGCTTCAAAGCACATACACTGGGATCATGGCCATGTACCTCTCACACCTGCAGTGCCCCAGCTCTCTGAGGTGAGCGGTGCACCTCCTTTCCCACCAGTGGTTTGTGGGAAGGATGCATCCCCTGCCCTGAGGAAGAGCTGCCCAGCACTGCTGACTGCTCACACTGCACCCAGGCTTCACCTCTGACGCAAATGTCCTGCAGAGCACATCCTTCTGCCCAGCTTTCCCATGATGTCCTCTTTGCCCATTTCCCAGAGCACAGTGCTTTCAGTTCTGCCCAGCCAGACAGCAAAGCGCTCCCACAACTGGCTTGCTGCCAAGGACTTGAAGAGTCAGGGAATGCAGAAGCAGAACTAAGAGAATTACGTGAATGCTGTGAAAAGACAGTGTGGCCATTTGCACCCAGCCTGACACAATGCCCTCATAGGGAGCAGAAGATTTCACATGAAATGAGTCACTCAAAATCAGGAACAAGAGTTTCCTGGAAGGCGCAGTGCAGGCACTAGAGGCAGCAAAGCAAACCGAGCATTCTCACAGTGTAGGGCACTCCTGGGGCACCCCCCAAGCAGAGCACTTACAGGCTTCCCCCCACGCTCCCACTTTGCCACCAGGCCCTGCCCGCTGCCCACTGCCTACCTAGCTGTCTCTCTCCACACCAGGCCTGACGCAGTGCTGAACAGCTCATTGAGCTGGACGAACAGCGGTGGCCACTTTCGGTCCCCCACCTCTTCCTGCTGCAGGATGGCACTGATGCGCTCAGCTGCCGAGGAGATGCTCGGTGAGAAGATGCTGTGGCTGACTGCTGTGTGGAGAAGTTTGGAGCTGTGGGTTGCAGAGTCTCCCTGCCCAGGCTGCACAGCTGGAGCCGTGCCGGCCAGCCCAGGCACTTCAGCTCTCATTGTGCAGAGCAGCCAGGAGCCATATGCACCACTGGGCACTTGCTTTCTGCAGCTGCCAGTACTCGCAGCACCTCACTCATCACACCCTTATAAAAGTTGTGAGCAAGTTCAAACTGGCTGCAGACCAACAGCCAGGAGCCAAACCCCAAACAGTGTTATCAAAACACAGTGGCCAGCCCTGAAGGCCTTGGTATCAGTGGCTCCTGCTGCTCCAGCTGTCCATCTGGGCAAAAGACTGGGGAACCCAGCTTTGCCACCAGCTGCATCAAACCTGGGCTGATGGGTGGCACAGCCCATCACTACTCACCTGGCTCACTGCAAGAGACACGAGCATGATGCAGACAGCTGCTGCCATCACTCTGTGACTATGGTAGAGAGGATGAGGTGTGAGTCTCCCAGCTAAATGTCACACACAGCACTTGCGCCTGCCCCTGAGGCCAATCACAACCTGCTCTTATGTTCTAGGAAGAAGCAGTGTGGCTCCGAACCCTCTCAAACCTCACAGGGCTTTCAAGAGCACATGAAAGGCCAGAAGCAGATCTCTGATGGCAGCATCAGTGCATGGGATGGGAAGTGCATGGCCCTGTGGCAGCAACGCTGAGACAGGGGGATGTGGCACAGTGTCCCCCCTTGCTGGCATTGGGCCATGGGGATGCATGACTGGGAGGAACATGTCATCACTAAGGGAATCTGGAGTAGGGTAGAAGGGGCTAACAGGAGACAGCCTACATCCCGGGACAGCAAGGAGCCTCTCTGACTGCCACCCCCAGCCCCACCAGCAGCTGGCAGCCAGGGTGACTCCAGCCAGAGTAGGGCTGAGAGCACCAAGGAATGCCCACACCAGCAGGCCAAACGGGATGGAGATAAGTGCGCCGTGTTGCCACAACACATGGCCCTGCTTGCACAGACTGTATCGCCACCAGGTTTTGCTACCTTGACTCTTTGCAAACAAACAGCCTCATTGTATAGAGTGCAAATACCACAACATGCAGCACAAACACCCCAGCATACACAGGCTGCTTGTACTGGAACCAGCCGGCTGGCCTTGCAGCAGCCACTGATGGGAGCAGGGTGGCACAGGGCCAGGCACCAGTGTGGCAGATGTCACGTTTCAGGGCAGCACGGGTGGCCACAAACTTTGGCTCTTGTGCCAAAGGGGAACACAGTGGGTTGAAGTGTGCTGAGATATGCCTTGCAGAAACTGCAGCTCAGGCTCAATGGGCTTGGAGCTGAGGGTGAGGCTGGGACATGGCTCTGGTCCCACAAAGCCTTGCGATGTGCCAGGCCCCCCATACTGAGCAGGACAGGAGCTCTTCTCACATGTGGAGCTCAAGTCCTGTGGGCAGCAACTGAGGGAGCCAGGGCTGTTCAGTCTGGAGGAGGATCAGGGAAGACCTCATTGCTCTTTGCAGCTCCATGATAGGAGGTTGTAGCAAGGTACCAGCCTCTACTCCCAGGTAAAAGAGACAGGTTGGGAGGTGATGGCCTCACATTGTGCCAAGGCATGTTCAGGTTGGGTGTTAGGAAACATTTGCTCTCTGAAGGAAGATAATGCATTGGCATGGGCTGCACAGGGAGGTGGTGGACTCACTGACCCTGGAGATGTTCCAGAATCATGTAGACATGGCATTGGGAACGTGGTTAGTGGGCATGGCGGGGACAGGCTGACGGTTGGATTTGGTGGTCTCAGAGGCCTTTTATAACCCTAATTCTATGATTCTATGTGCTGTTCAGCCTTCCCTCTGCCCTCCCCAGGTTGCAGTGAAAGGTCAGCCCACTTCCCCATGAGGCATCCAGTCCCACCCTGACGAGAAGGGACCCCTCCCCATCAACCCTGCTTATCCTAAGGATACAACCAGAACTGCCCCACGCCCCTGCCCTGCTCTGTGCCTGCATCCCAACGGAGCCAGCCCCCAACAACCAGCAGGTGCTGAATGATGCCACCCCACCAGGATCCTTCCTGCCACAGGCACGGAGAAGGGAGCAGCACACGATACTGCGGGGCCAAAGCTGGCACGGACCTCTCGGTATTCCTCGGCGCTCAAGCCGTGCCCCGGAGCTGACAGGAGTCGGGCAGAGGCGGCGAAGCTGAAGGCTGCGGTGGCCGCGAAAGACCGCAGGAGGGAGCCCGGGGGATCCGGCTGCCAGCGGGCTGCGCGGGGCGCTCCTGGGCGCGGCAGGGGCTGGGCACGGGTGGCCCGGAGGCAGCCGACCCCCGCTCCGCCAGGATCCCCGTGCAGCCGTCCTACCAGCCTGCAGTGCGCCGCGGCCCCGTCTGTCCACCCCCACTTTGCCCTTGGTTTAGTGCTGGCCCCTTTCTCCCGTTTCTCTGTCTGCCGCGGCTCGGCTGCCACGTCTCAGGGAGCTGAGCGCTGCCCTCGGGGCTGAACTCAGTCACCCGAGTCGTCCAGAAGCCTTTGGCACCCCAGGGGCACTCTGCATACAGCCGCGCCGTTTGCTCTGCGATAACGGCGTTTTCCTAAGGAGTGTGCCGGGCCGCACAGCCGGGCGGTGTGCAGCTGCCAGCAGGGCTGGAGGGCCGCCTGGCTGGGGGGCTGCTGGCAGCAGTATGGGAGCAGGCTGGCACTGGGGAATGAGCACAGCGGAGGCTATGGAGCTGCTCCCAGCGCGGTGCCTGCCTCATCCGGACCTTCCCAGAGCAGCCCCAGGGAAGCGGAAGCATGGAAATGCACAAGTGGTTTTGCCTCCGGATTTGCTGTATTCAGTATGGAGCTGCAAGGAACCAAAAGGAAACTGTAAACTTCTTTATCTTTCCCAGAGTGTTTACTCAATGTATTTGATGTATCTTTGAGCTTGGCTGCTGCTGTGGTTCCTCCGGAACAGCCAGTTTTTTTCAGCCATTTCCCTCTGTCTGCAAAAGGTCTTTTCACACATCAGATAGAGAAAAGAGCAGTTGAAGAGCAGTGCAGAGGGAAAAGTGTTTGCAAAGATGCTGGAACTAGCCCAGGGCCAGGAATAGCACCTGGGAGCACCCTAGTCCTGCCAGGCTCAGCAAGTGCCCCATTCGGCTGTGTGGGCCACCTGGAGCAAAAGCCACTTCCAGGGGCACAGCGGCACCTCTGCTGACCTCGGCCCTGCCTTTGCGCTCTGCCAGGTAATGCAAAGGCACCTCCTCCTGTTAGCCTCAGCTGCACAAGGTCGTCCTAGAGGATTTTGGTGACAGGGAACAGGCAGGGGAGAAAATTCCCTCCTGAGGCAGGGACATGACTGGGGAGGGAGGTGTGGGAGTGGCGGAGGTGCCGGCACTCAGCGGGTCAGCAAGGCAAGAGCTGCTGTGCAGTGACACACTCACCTCGCCTTTGCTGCCTCTGTGCCAAATTCTTAAAGTCTGGTGATGCCCAGAGGAGACGGAAGGAAAACCATCCAGCAAACAATTGCATAAGTCAGGTCTGAGCAAAGCAGAGGGTGTGAGCCAGGGGATTACCAAATTCCTTGGAGACAACAACAACAATCACAGGAATATTTAATCACACTGCTGCAGTGCTGTGCGGAACCGAAACTGGCATCGGGGCTTTGGGCCTGGGAATTTGAGCTACCACCAAGAACAATGCAGGGCAGGTAGCCATGCCAAATGTGACCTGGAACAATGCCTACCACTGCACTTGTCCAGTGTTTGGCATCACCGGTGTTTTCTGGCCTGTCACCTTGGATGAAAATAATGCCAAGCACAACACAACCCAAAGTGGTTCTCAGGCTGGTAGAGGACACAGACTGCTGGAGCAATGGGGCCAGTAGCCAGGGCAACCTGCTGACATGCCACATTCTTTGGGGAAGCCACAAGTCCACCTGGTTAATGGCCTCACCATCCAGGCACAGAGGTGGCTCCATGGAGTCACAGGGGGCTGAGGCTGGCGGGGACCTCTGGGTCCATCTGGCTCAGCCAGGCCCCAGCAGGGCCACCCAGAGCAGGGTGTTCAGCACCACATCCATTCAGCTTCAGAGATCTACCAGGAGGAGACCCCACAGCATCTCCAGTTGCTGTGCCAGCACTCTGCCACCTGCACAGCACAGCAGTGCTGCCAGACAGTCAGAGGCAACACCTGTGTTGCACTGTGTGCTCTTTGCCTCCTATTCAGACACTGGGCACACTGAGAGGAGCCTGGCTCTGTCCTCTAATATGCCCTCCCTTCAATCATTTATGGGCACTGATAAGATCTCCCCTGAGCCTCCTCTAAGCTGAATGCTACAGCCCTCTTAGCCTGTCCCATAGGAGAAGTGCTCCAGTCCCTTCAGCCTCTCTGTGGCCGTTTGCATACTCTCCATTTATGTCCTCTGACAAAAAGGACTTCCACTACCTCTGCAGGCTGGCATGCAGAGCTGTCTCCCATTGACACTGAGTGGTAACAGGGAAGGAGTCACGCAGCTGAATCATAGAATCATGAAGGTTGGAATAGACCGCTAAGATCACTGACTTCAGCCATTGACCCCACTGTGCCCACTGACCACATCCCTCAGTGACACATCTCTGCGTTTCTGGAATTCCTCCAGGGATGGTGACTGCACCATCTCCCTGGGCAGCCTGTGCCAGTGCATCACCATGCTTTCTGCAAAAAAATGTTTCCTAATATCCAACCTGAACGTTCCCTGATGCAACATGGGACCTTCACCTCTCCTATCGCTAGTCCTCTAATGGTTGCCAGCCTCAGTGCCAGAGCCAAGGAGCAGATTTCCGTTCCGTGCCGTTGTGTTCTGCTTCCAACACCTCGCGGGTGGTGCTTAGAGGAGCCCCGCTCCTCTCCAGACCGCTTTCCACGGTAGTGCTAGGCTCCAGAGAGCATCCTGCGGCTCCTCGCACCGCAGCAAACCCCGACGGAGGCGGCCCCGCGGAGCCCCGGGGAAGCCCTTCCCGGAGGAGGGGCGGCCCCCAGCCCCGCCCGGCCCCGCCCCACCGCCTTCTACCCGCGGCGGGGCCGCGCGGGCGAAGAGTCGCTGCGGAGCGGGGCTGAGCTGAGCGGCTGCCGGGACGCTGTGCCCGGCCA